AGGCTGTTCTGTTCATTTTTCTCTTGATGCAGTCATTTGCTATTCAACAGCCTATCACTACAGTTATTTATGCTATTATTCTGATTTCCAGGTTTAAATTGTTCTCTTTTCATGCTATGTATGAATAATCCAGATCTTGACAAGACTGTTTTATTTGTTTGTAAGCTTGTTTTTCCTTGAAATTTTGCTTCCTGTTTCTACACAGGAAATGAAAAATCAGCATAGTATATAGCATATATTATGTGCCTCTAAAGGGTGATAGGAACCTATTTTCCTTATGTACTTTACCCTAAATGGAACTTCCATTCTTTGTGCTCAGTAATCCAGAAAAAGGGAGAGGGGGAAAAAAAAAACCCTAAGTGCTTTATTGCTATCTCCTACTTTCCCCTTCATAGAAATGGAGCATGATATAAACTAGTCATTCCCTGCATGAAGATTATACAGAAATAAACAAGCTAATTTTATTTTATCTGATGACCCAAAGGAAAATATCATTCCTAAAAATAATTCCTCTTCTCATTTTCCAACCAGCTCCTTCAGCAAATACTTTGGATTAAACAGATTGTCTGACAGATCATAAAAAGCACATAGAAAGTTGAGCATCCTTCATAGGAAACATCCTGTCAACAGCATCCTAATCTTTAAATCTAGTGCCTATTAGCTTAAGTGTCCATGAATGTAGCTGCTATAACAGCTAAACAAGAAGAAATCTCTATCCACATAGCCAGAACTAAACATACACAGAACTCTACAGATTAAACTCCCTACCCTGAATTTAATCTAGAAACAATGAAGCAACCAGACCCATGGGAAGAGCAAGTATCATGTTGCTCATGACCAATGAAGCTTAAAATACAAACAGCGTTAACTTTTAGCACCTAAAATATACAGCATAAAATACAAACTGTAACTCCAGGATAATACCAAACTCCTTCAAAAAACACACTGCAATCCCTCCTTAAGGGAGGCCAAAAGGCATATTTTCTGTTACAGTATCAGGTTCAAAAATACAGGTCTACTAGTACAAATTAAGATGAAGAATTTCAATCTAATGAGAAACCTTGAAGTTAGTACATCCCAGGAAAAAGTGACCTGATCGCATAACTGCTTCTTTTGACGTGTAAAAAAAAAATACCCTTCTCGCCCTGGCCCCAACTGTGTTCCATAAAGATAAGGCAAAAAGTCAGGTCCTCTCTTCTACCATCCACTGGGCTCCCAGACTCTCTCACTTCTTTCAGCACCATTGGGCTATTCCAACCAAAAGGTGGAAGATCTGCACAGCATCCAGGGCACCATACAACCAGAGCATTTAAAGCCATTATAGCTGAGAAAGTAGCTTCTGGCCATTGCCTCAGAGCTGCGGTCAGCCACCCAAGAAGGGAGAGAAACAGTTTTAGTTTGACAGTTTCAGTTAGAAGCTTCTAAATAGCAGCTTTCTGTCATTTAGGCTGACTTAATGTCTTTTCCATTAGGTGCTAAGTGTTGCTAATTTCATTGTTAGGCATCTAATTCTCACCACTCAGTCTGGGTAACATAGATGCCTCCAGCCTTGTGCCATTCCTGGACTCCTACATAAGTTCCCAGTTTGTGCACATGACAGTGTTATGCACCACAGTTCCCAAATCACTTTGGGGACTGGCCTGTATTGGCCTACTTTAAGAAAGAGAATTGGAGATGTCTCAACAGCTAAGAAGGACCCACAGCAAGTATATAAAGCTACTAAGGCTTACAGAACGAGGAATTCCCAGAAATACCAGAAGCAACCTGAACTGCAATGTGCATGTCTGCCCCTGGCTTAGAAGTCTGGAAGGATGGATAGGACAGATCTGAACTGCATGAGGTTTTTTTTCCTCAGAACTCTCCTACAGCATATCAACAGCGAGGTGTAACTCTTCCTGGCTTGCCAAGTTATACAGTCTCTCCTTTGGTCCGTCATACACATTTAGGAAGCTGCTTTGGAATGAGATGAGAACTTTTGAGTTCTAATACACAAAGTATTCAGAAAAACAAACAAGCAAACAAAAAAAAACCACTTTACATCCATCACTAATGTCACTATCACTCAACGGATCTGTATCCTAAACAAAATCAGTCACTGAGCAAGGAGTTCTTAACAAACTTGAACCTGGAAAGCAGAAGACAGTTCTAATGAGATGGACTAGGGTTCCTGAAAGAGATACTTTTGGTATACTTAGCTGGTTGGCAGAGATGAAAGGGGGAAAAGGAAGCCTACAGAAAAAAAACCAGAATTTTTCTTAAAGAGAAAGGGAAAAAAATCAGACCAAAAGCAAAGATAGTTAAATTGCAGTGCACAAAATTAAGCTCACAGTTGGGAAGCAACGTGTAGTGATATGACTGAGGTTAACCATGTTCCTGCAAACATTGCTAGCTTCCTCAGGAAGTTTCAAATGACACTAGTAAATAAGACATTTCATTTTAAAGACATCAATTTCTTCCTACAGAACCACCAATGTGTCAAAATTAAACAATTAACACAATTACTTTCAGTCTTTTTAATAACCCAATAGTAGCAACACTTGTTTTGGAGAACTGTTTTAAGCACTATGAGAACAGAACGAGGGGAAAAAAAGGTTCAGAATTAAATTTATGTTGTTGAAATATATCACCTATATGAATAGAGGAAACACACCAAGTGAACTTTTTTCCTAATACATCTAGTTTTTAAGGCAGCTGATAGTTTGGAAAATGGCTTCTACATGCTGCAACATATACATCTCAAGATGTCATGTAACAACGAAATACTGCAAAAATTGAACACTGCAAGCTCCTGGAGTGCAAGATAAAGCCAGAAACACAGGCACAGGAAATCGTGATTCTGCGTACCAGAAAATGGAAAGTAATGCTAGCAGTTGCAACACTGACTGAAACACTGTATTGATGAGTCCAAAAGGAAGCCAGAAACAGTTCCATACACAAAGGAAAACAAAAATCCTAAAGCGAAGTGAACCATTTTTTGCATCTCCAGAAGGACAAAGCTAAATGTACAGACACCCTTCAACATGTTGGAATAGGCATATAGTACCCTTGAAAGTATGTATTTTTTTTGGAATGACTAAGTCATGACTTGATATGATCCATGCCTTCCACTACAAACACCAACTAACGGCAACAGTACTTAACAGCCTACAAAAATGTCAGTGTTCCTAAAAATTGTTTGGGTGTTTACAGACATGCTCTTTTCTCATGAAACTCAGGAAATTATTCAGGTTACTAAGTACATGTACCAAGTGCTATTTTAGACATTGGAGTATCTGACGCATCCCCATAGGCTGCCAGATGTGCTATAGGATTTACAGGACATTCATGTTTTCTGAAGATGCACCTTGAGGTCACGCAGGATAGCATGAATATCACAAACTAGGTCTTCAGGTGTATTAATTGCAAGTCAATTTAAAGTGCCTCCACAAATAGAGACATTGAAGATATATTCTCTTTTTATCGTATCGAAATATAAGTAAAGAGATAAGCTCAAAAAAACATTAAGTGCTCTACTTGCTAAAAAGTCAGCATTTGCAGCTCACAGATGTTGGCTTACTTCTATAGCCAAAGTACACTACTGAATCCTATAAAGTCAAGCCAAAATACACTTTCCTACAGGTGAAAAAGGAGTTAAGAAAAAATGAAAATTTCAAATTTATGCAAAGATTTTACCAAAGAATAACATCCATGATCTAATGCAAACAAAGGAAGGGAGCAAGCATTATGTTTTTCCTCTTCACCTACACAAGCACAGACCAAACCTTTCCTTTTTTAGCTAAGCTAACAGTTCTATTTACATATTTATACTGAATTGAAATGGTCTAATAATTTTTCTAAGGTTTCCATACTGAAACCTGACAAGCACTTAAGAAATGTGTGCGATACTTAAGAAAAAAAACCAAACAAAAAAAAGCAGGGTCATTTATGAGCATGTACCGTAAAGTTTGGAAAAAATATTCTGTAGGTCCGACAGATGCTCAATCATTTTAGCACTTTTTAGGAATTGTTTAATCTCTGCCTCTTTCCATATAAAAACAAAAATTAAGTAAGTCTTCCACACTCATACAGAGAAAGAAATAATACGAATTTTGGATCTGTTTTTGTTCCTACTACCATCAGCGGAATCTTGACCATTTATTTGACTGAGCAAAAATAGCCTGGCCTTATTACTCTGGAGTCCCAGAGTAGGGGATCAGATTGTTGAATACATGAACTAATCCGATTAGTCAGTGAAAGGACTGAATAACTTTTCAGTCATGATTTTTCAGAATTTCAGCATGATCCACTCTCACCAAATGAAAGCACCTTAAAATGGGGCAGATGTAAGGCTGTGAGTGAAATTAAAACCAGTCTTACACTGCAATTTATAATGTATAGTGACTCATATTCTCATCTATTTCCTGATCTCTCAAATCCATCCAGTCTTTAAATATAATAAAATAATATGATTATGTTTCCAGGTGTTCATTTAAAATGGCTTCAGAAGTTTAAAGCTGTGTATAAATCTGGTCAATTAATATTTGTTAATTAGGCAATTATTTAAATTAATATAACTGAACTTTCCTAACATCTTTTTTCCTCTATTCTTTATCATAGTAAGAACAAAAGGCAAAAAATTGTCTTCCTGCTCCCCAAAACCTAGAAGTTCCTTCTCCCCTTCCTGCATCAGGACAGAAGTAAGATTACTGAGATTTTTTTCACCAAAAATTAATCGAGGCAGGAAAAATGTAGAAGAGTGACAGACAGAGAGGGAGACTGACGTCAAAACAAACATGGCCCAGAACTAAGAGCATTCAACTGAGAAGTGAAAGACAAAGGGTTAAATTCAGGCCCTCTGCCTGACATGGACAAGATACGAAATAACTGTGTTAAATCCTGGATGATTCTCCTAACCATTCACTGTATTCCGGTGTAGATCAATCCTGCTTCTGCTATAAGTAACATTGCTGTAGCTTATGTAAGTATGAGCTTGGTATGCACTAGCCATGCAAATTATTTACCCTGTTTTTCAAGTATTACACCTGGAATGAACTCCCTGACATCAGTACGTCTGCACAAGGCACAATCACGCAGGAAAAGTTTTGCTGCTTGCAGGATCCCACATTTGTACCAAGAACCCCGAGACTGTGCTATTAAAGCATTACGGAATTTGCTACATTCATATGAGGGAAAAACAAATTTAAAAAAAAAAAAAAAAAATCAGCATCTTGGCTTGGAAGACATTTTGTCAAAAACAACTCATACCTAGCATCAGGGAGGAACATTTTGAGCAAGCTAACCCTCAACATCCTCAATTTCAAAGATTTATGAGATTATTGAACAACCTACTCTGACTTGCTCAGAGCTGTACAGTCTATTTCATTAGCATACATTTTCAGACATTCTGAGGTTGTTTACACATACACAAGGGAATGTAACACATTCAAATATTTCTGATCCCCATTACATGGGATGGTAAACCACATCAGACTTTTCATTTTATGGATATAGACCCGAGTTCTACAACTACCAAATACATTCATAAAAGGCATAAACCCAAAGAAAATAAAATAAATCCTTTCTCCAGGCTGCAAAGCAGTTGCAAAACCATTCTGCTGAGCTCTCCACCCCTATGCTGACATGACCTCTGAAAGCAGTCTTCTCCATATAGATGATGAGAAAATTTCCACATTACTTAACAGATTGCTGTTTAAATTATCTATCATACCGAGTGTTTAGAAAGAATCTGTTATTTGTAATTTGTAATTTTCAAAGTGTGTGAAAGAAAGAAAATCAGTTCACACCATTTGCAGTAAGCAGAGGCATCTTTTCTACCCCAAGTCATGTTTTTAAACTTTTAAACACATTTATACTGAGAATAAATTACAGTGGTATGACAGCCTTAACCACAGCACCCTGAAAAATTGCAGCATCAAATCAATGCAATATTAACTACCTGAAATTGAGATTAAACTGAATAGGTGGGATAGCATAGCAAGCACATGTTCATATATCTATTTTGAACATTTCATATAATTAGCCACTATCCCTTATTGAGCTTTGAAATTCTGCTACCAGTTGTGCGAATACGCATTTATGAGTCAGGGCCAATATGAACACTTTACAGAATTTTGTTCTACTCTTGTTCATTGGAAGAATCATTTGGAAAAAATACATCCATTTTAAAACAGAAATGGCAAAGTACTCTTTCTTTTCCGCAGTGAAATGCAAGCACGTTTACCTTCAGTAGTTAAGTAATGAAGATACTTTTTCCATGTGCAATAAAGTCCAGTAAGTCATTTGTGGACTAGCTGAAGTGATTGGTAATTCAGTTACAGACCCAGTACCCCAAGCATACAAAGCAATCACACACTGATTTAAGTTAATGAATACAGACCTGAGTTCCTCTGATACCAAATAAAATAGTAGATTAGAGTTGAAATAAGACATTTCTTGTGCTTGATTCCATCACCTTTAATTGAACTGCATGTAACATTTCAACCCTCAAAAAAATCCTATTAATTTCTCTGAGTCAGTTTTGGGAGCAGGTGGTGGGAGACAGTAGTAGCTGGAGCTGAACTACACCTCGTTGCAGAACCATAATGAGTATCTTTTTCTTGTAAGATTTTTTTTGCACTCTCATAAAGCGACCAGCCATAGGTAAATGCATTAAGTATCTGTACATTAAATCAGATTCAGGACAGAAATGTTAACTCACTCTATTAATTTCCCAAATGGGAACTTCAGGGGGAAAAAGGTAATCTCCCCATAAACTGCCTGATTTGAGAACCTTTCTTAAAACAATGAAAAACAACAACAACCAAAAAAAAAATAATCAAAGATCTCTTATAGAATAATTGTTAAACAAGGAGGCACAGCAGTGTTGCATTAGAAAATCAAAAATGTTCTATGGTGGGCCTACATACAGATAGATAAAGAAAAGTAAACAGTATTTCAAAAGACATCTATACCATTCTGTAACTGCACGCAAATAAATACAAATGCAGTATTTTAAGCACAGTTATTGATTTTAGAAGGTGCGATATGAATTTGTTCCACATGTGGTTATTTAAAACCTGCTTTTACTCCTTACTGTTGATCTGTTTTATCTGAATATGCTTTCACTATGTTTGTTTGATGCTTTTATTCACTCCTTATTGTTTATCCATAAAGAATTCATTATTGGAAGGACTTATTCACTCAAATCAAAGCCCTTTTTCAGTTTTAACAAGGTTACATCTAATATGTGCTTGCAGTCAATGCAGGTTTTTTTGGGTTTTGTCATTGGGTGGGTTGGGGTTTTTTTGTGTGTGTGTGGTTTTTTGGTTTTTGTGGGTTGTTTTTTTTTTTAAAAAACGAACTTATTAAAGGAAAACATTAAGGTTTCAAGCCAAAATAACGCTCCATGCTCCACAAACCTACATATTTTGTATAAAAACATGCAGGCTTTTGCCCTATAGCATTTCAGAAATCTACATGGCAAAAGGAATTAATCCCTTGTCCACAGACTTCTAAAAGCAGATGCCACTGTATTCATGTTCTGATAAATGCAATGATCAGCTACAAAATAATGGAAAAATCTTGTTCATTTCAGAAATGAAAGTTCCAGTTAATTGTCATATGAGAAGCCCATTCACGTATACATATAGAGAGAGTTTGATATATACAACTAAATTTTTTACCTATTCAGGTATCTTTTCAGTGTTATTGTCACTTTGACCTGACATTCCTTGGCTTCAGTTGCAGTGACGTTGGTTCCAGAACATGGGCATGAACCTTCAATATAAAAAAATCAGTAATTCATGCACTCAATTCACAGAGGTGAGAACACTGATTTAAAGTCATAAATTATCTTACTAGTAACAGCTCTGAGATAATCCTTTTCAGAAAATGGATTGTAGGGTTTAACCAATGTCCTCCTTTTTATTTATGTGACATTCAAAATAAACTATCGTTCACTATATAAGTACATATGGATGTATGTTTATATATACATGTGTGTATACACACATACATATATACTCACGTTTATGTTTACTTTGGGTTATTTCCTCCTTTTAGTTTCCTAAAAATTAGTCCTACCAGCACATATTAGAGAATTATTAATTTAAAACTGTATTTTCCTTGAGCAAATATTTTTTTACAATTTAAATCATGTTTTCACAGAAGATGCCTGATAAATTATGCTGATTATCTTAATTTTCTACGTAATGGTAACAGAATACCTGTTTAATGCATTTTCAAACTAATAAAATGTTCCCAGTTATCATATACTTCCCTAGTAATTATCAACTGTTCAAAAAGAATTATTTATCTGTTAAACATGCCTTAACTCTCAAAAATATTTTAATCATGAGAAGCTTGACACAAGAACTAAAGAAATCGGCAGTAACAGTATCACTTAATGCAGCAGCCCTTGGTTTAGGGTGTGTCACACACACTGGATAGTACGGTAAGTCTTATGTACGCAAGGGGCTAAGTACATCCCCAGCTATGTGCAGTCAATAGTCCTATCAAAGTTGGCGTAAATTAAAGCTTTCATTAGCGTAAATAGGAAAAAGTTACTACATTTTCATATCTTAGATACAAATAAAAGCATATATAAACATATGAATATATTGAAGAGATTGATAGTATTGGTTGATTTAAGAGCTTGATTGGTATATCTAAGGCTTGATTGATATGCTGCTCACAAACTGCTATTAAATATAACTCAGTTTAAGCTTTATAAGAGTAAAATACATATTCATACTATATTCAAAACTGCATGGTAAATTTTTATTTCAGATATATGGACAAAATTAATGCAATAATCACATAATAAAAATCTGAAAAGTCAAGTAGCCAAGCCAAAACTGTCATATTTGTATCTGCCCACATTCTGGATCATGGCTGTGTGAAAATGATCTGTGAGCCAGGAGAAAAGATGCACAGCAGGGACAGCACTGTCACACAATAAATACCCCAGGTTTCTTTACGAATAACTCTCAGGAGTAGAGGAATGTTTAAAGTTTGCTACAGGGCTTGATTTCGAGGGGAGAAACGTTTTGAGAACAGCAAAAGCACAAGAGTTCTTATCGTAGGCTACATCCTGGTCTTACTGCATCATTTTACTACAGAAACCCATCTGATCTTGTCCATTTTAATTACAAGGGGGTACAGACCTATTTCACATCTGCTCACTGAGCCTGAGAAATGAAAGTGAGAAGTGAAAAGGAAATGAGAAGTACCAGGAATACAAACAACCTGAAACATAAGCATTTAATAAATTCCTCCTTTCCTTCAAAACCAGTTCTAATCATTTATTGTGAAATATATTTGAGCTCGGTCCACAGCTTATTTTAATTCAAATAAACGCATCTAAATTCCTCCCATCTTTACCACTACAGGATATTTTTTTTTTTTGCTTATTCTTTAATCATTTTGCCAGCAGTATGCTGAATGCTATTTCTTTAAGAATGCAATCTATAGCATTATATTCCAAAATGGCCATGACTCCCAAGTTGCAACATGCTAGATATTCATAGGTTTTCAAAGCTGCTGGTTAAAGAAATAATGAAAGGATCTAAGGTTTATGCATGAATCAGCATCCCCTTGTCATAATGTCATGGTGCAGTGATCCCTGCAGAGCTGTAAGACTTGATTTAAAACAGAAAAGGTCAACTCTTTTGAGCCAGCAGGATTAAAGATCCAAGATCGTGCCTATATTACCTCTGTGACAAAGCTACTATATGAAAAACTTGTTACAGTTATGGAGATTTTATAGTACTCCATAGGAAACCTCTCTTTAGGTGACCCCAATATCCTTTCAGTGAAAAAATATGTGAGTATATAATACAGCTATCCCTGTTTGGGTTGGTGAATTTAAGAGGAAAGTACTTCATCTTCACCAGTTTGCTCTTTCCTTGTTTTGAAGAAAAAAATCTGATGTCGCTGATGGTCAGCACTTCTCCAATTAGACTACTCAATTACACTGTGCTGAAGGACAATAAAGTCCAGTGGTTTGGATACCTTCCAATTCTTCCATGAATTAGCTGCAGTGCTGTACCTCTGCCCCAGCTGCAAAAAGCCAAAGAGGTTCTGTTAGAGTGAACCGCTTTGTTAACGTTTGCCTTTACCACCTAGACTGTAACCCTCTGAATCACCAAGAATTCTTAAAAAGGGCTAAGTCTAGCCCATTTCTCTTGAAGGATGTAACAGTAGTCATGGCAGTGAATATTTATCTTAATTGTGCCATCAGTCTGAAGAAAGACTGCACCATCTCTCGATCAAAACCATTAAGCCTCCTCAGGACACCGACTTGCGAGGTGTCAAACTGCAATTAGATTCCAACAGCTACTCCTGATGACCTGTCAACACAGCTTTGCACAAGACTTGCAACAGTTCAACAACCTGAAGTGACTATTTGCTACGGATATATTATGTGAGTTAAGGCTATCTACCCACAGAGTCTCCATTCCTCCTGTGCTACACATATCTTCTGGTCACCTTTAAATGACTGAGTAGTCTTACACTGTTTCAAACATCCCATCTCCTCTTTTCTGGAAGTTTAGGAACCTAATTTAAAACTAGTACCAGCAATATAACTCGTTCATCTGAAAACTGTTTCCTCCATCAATGAGCTCCGAGCAAGGGCTGACAAAAGCACTTCGTAAAGTTTGGGGATTCCTTTAAATAGCTGTACAGTGGGTTGGTTGGTTGGTTGTTTTTCAAGCGGATGGAATTGCACACCCCGGCTTCCCTCTGGTTGCCAGGCGGCAGGAGGGAGGCTGCCGCCTGCCGGGTGCCGCCCGCCCGGCGCGCAGGGCTGCACACCGCCTCCCTCTCCCGCACCGCCGGCCGGAGCTTCTGCAGCCCGAGAGCAGGCTGGTTTGGGGCTTCTAAATCGAAAGCTGAAATATTTCGGCTGTCGATTTCAGAAAATTTACTTGTTATTCTTAGGGCAGGACGAGGTCATTACATCTATTACGGTTTAAGCCTGCCTCTATGTTTCTGTGAAGGAAAATCACCTTCCCGGAGTGAAACATCTGGGTAAATACTGAAGCATTTTCAGTTTCATATTATCCTACATTTCTGTGACCTTCTTTTACACCTGCATTGTTTAACCGTTGATAGCGCTGGTTTTGGACACAGGTTCTTTGTAGACTATTCTGAAAAAAAAAAACCAACCTGCAGGTTTTTCAATATTTCAAAAAAGAATGAGTGTAAAGGGGACAAAAAAAAAGATGGATCCTCCTTAACCATTTGTGCATGCAGTGCTCTGCGATCAGCTGCTAAATTCTGCTTCTCATATGGCAAATATTTGTCTTCAGAATTCCTTGTTCTCCAATCAAACGTTTCTGGGAAGGTAATCAAGGAACTACTATACATATTTTTAGCATATGCTTCACTAGTCAATTAAATCCAATTGACAAGATAACTTCACTAAACCATCAGTGGTGATTGAGGTGATGAAAAAGCAAGTACATATTCATATCTTAATTTGGTGCTCTTCAAACTGCTTGAAAATGGAAGCCTTGGACGAGATTCAGAGAAAGGGAAACCCAAAACGTGGATAGCATCTCCCTTCTGCTTAAGTCTGAAAGTCCATTACTGCAGAATACAGCCTACACACATCATCTGATTATTACAAGAGTTCTCCAAGGAAGACAGCTAAGCTCAAGAACAAGGCTGATGCATGCACACAGACACAGATAAAAAACTTGATGGGATCGGAGAAAAATATGAATCCTTTACTTTCACAAAGACCAGGTGGCTATACTTGTCTCTAGTACCAGTAGAAAAAAAAAAATTCGGGCATTTTACACAAATTATTTTCAGGATTTCATTGACTTCAGAGAACTGAGAAACACAGAAAGACCCATCACATTTCTGCAGAATGCCATCTAGACCGCTACACAACCCATTACTTCATCGACAGTCCCAGTAACATACACTTCAAATACTAACCACATGCAGTTCTGGTTGCTGGAAACTCTCGTCACCTAAGAAAGCAAGAACTCCCCAAACAGTTTGCAAAGATTAGCAAAGTAGCCTTACTGTGGCTGGTTACATGCTCTGACCTTTTTTGACTTCAGCTGTGTGTGCTATACCCTCCTACCCTCACACAAAAGCTCCTTGGGCTGAACTCTTGCACCACCTATCCCAGCGTCTGTGCCAAGATGCCCCTCTTCAGCACCACCTCACCTACCATAATGTAGCTAAATTAGGGAAATAAAAAAAAAAAAAAGGGTCGCCAATGGAGGGGACTTGCTCTCGCTGATAGCTAACATCCAGATTCAGTGTCCCTTACAGCTTGTCCCAGGAGAGACGAGGAAACGCCTCGGGGGAGCGCAGCACTGGGAGGCCGATGAGCCGCAGCTCGGCGGGAGTGGCCAGCACGGCACAAGAGCGGGCTCCCTCCTCCTTGCTGACCGCGTTGCTACGGGGCCCCCGCTTTCGCTTGCAACGGGCACGTCGGGCAGGGCAGCGGGGGGAGGCGAACACCCCTCCTCGCTCTGGGCACGACTCCCTCCCGCTCACAGTTCTCATCACTCACGGGCAGCGCC